GAATTACATCTGAAAAAACAGATTTACATTAAACCAAAGCAGAAGTGGCCAGAATTACATTTGAAAAAAAAAACAGAATTAAATTAAGCCAAAGCAGAAGTGGCCGAAGCAGAAGTAATTCTGGCCACTTCCGCTTTGGCCACTTCTGCTTAATGTAATTCTGTTTTTTCTAATGTAAGTCAGTTTTTTCAAATGTAATTCCATTTCTTCAAATATTGTTGTGTTTTTGTTGTTTTTTGTTGCGTTTTTACAATAAAAAAAAAAATTCTGTTTTTTCAAATGTTGTTCATTTACATCTCAGGGCCACTGTAATAAAATGACTGTCACAATCAAATGATGTTAGAAAATAGAACAAAAATAGTTTCAGCTAAGCCAGTTTTTCAGATTTTAAGTAAACTGTTGGTGCGTTAGCAGGTGAGAGACATTCCCAATGTTTGGATCTGTATAGTCTGATGACTTTTTGGTAGTTTATTGTGTTTAAAATTAGGTGGGCGGGAGTGGTGGCGCAGAGGTTAGAGAAGGTGTATGTCTGTTATCGCAAGATCGCCGGCCCTTAATCTCCACCATCTGCTCCTCTGGACGCCCTAGATGTCTGATCTCTGCTCCACACAGAGGGCTGTAGTAGCTCGGTGGTCTGTGGTTGTGTCATGAAGGGCATCCGGCATAAAAGTAACTGCCAAGTCTTCGTGTGACTTAGTTCGCAGTGGTGACCCCTGACGAAGGGAGCAGCCAAAAGAAGAAGAAGAAGAAGAAGAAAAAAAGGTGTTTAAGATTAGGTCTTGTGGTTATTATGTTTTGTCTTCTTTATCTTGTTGCCTTGTATTTTAGTTTTATTACTTGTGTTGTGTCTCTCATCAGTCTGTGACATCAGTTCATCTTTCCTCAGTCAGTTCTCTGCTCAGCTCCAGCTCTCTCCATGCAGGTGTTTTTAATTTGCTTTATTAGTTTGCCTCTATTTATCCAAGGTTTCTCCGTTCCTTCAACAGTGGAGCATATGCATGTTCAAATCTTGCTTCTGTTTTGTAGTTTGATGCCAAGGCAGCTTCTCGTGTCTGCTGGATTTGAGTTTAGTTGGTGTTAAGTGAGAGGTTCATTCATGAGGCCAAAATCTCCTGCACCGTGTACAACACGTGTATTCCAAGAGCTAACTGATCACTTAAAAATAACACGTGATTTTACGTGTTTTTTTAGGTTTCCCCAAAATATTTATGAATTTATCATTTCTCAGCACAAGACAAGCTTAGTCCAAAGCTCTGACACAAAAGCTGGTGGGCAATATGCATCACTGCAGGGCATCAGGGTTTTAATGTTTCTTTTATATCATATATGCTGTAAATAGCTCTTTAAACAACCTCAATTTGAAATAATTTATTTAAAATGGCAGCATTTCATTTTGGTTTTGGTCTTGGAGCAGCCGTTTGCTGCTTAATTTGATCAGATTTAAACTCAATTTTTTCAAACTGAGGCAGTTCAAAGAGTTATTTACAACAGGTAAGATATTAACTGTTCAAAGACATTTCACAGTACCTCACAAGAAATTAACTATCTTTTAAAATGCAGTAAATGGTAACTATTAATCAGCCTGCCTGTTAGTTCAGCACATTTTTCAAGAAGTTTTTTCCTTTGTTGCCACGTACAGTCTATCCCACAGTCTGTGGACATCGCAGTCAGTCACAGACATCCAAGCCGGATGTTATGTTACTGTAGGCTTTCCTCGCCATCATCAGTACTGCTCCTGCCAGTCATGAACGGAAAAAAAAATGTTCCAAAGAAATTTTAGATGGATGAACGCCGGAGGCAAGTTTTGATGCTTCAGTTTCATCTGTGGCAAGAGGAGGAAGCAGCAGAGCGCACGGCAGAAGAAAAGAAAGGTTAGATTTCTTTTAAATTCCCTTTTGACCAACACATCCTTGCAGCTAAAGGCTATCTGAAAGAGTTACACAAACCTCCAAACAGCATTTTATAAATGCCTTATTTGCAGATCCAACCAGGTGTAGTAATTTTTATGTTTTATTAGCTGAGGTGGTGGTTAAGTGATGAAAAAAGTAAACTGAATCCAATTATCATGAATATTTCTTGTTAAAAATGTCTGCACTCACCAGCTGTTTCTGCCAGCATCTGTGCTGATTTATGGATGCTGGCCACCAGGCTGGATGCCGTTAGAGGGTAAGAAGCCAAAACTGATTACTGACAGCTTCTGCAACGCGAGCAGAGCCAAAAATCCCCTGTACCTGCTCTGAGGGGCCGGCAGCACTTATGGTTACGTCTGTGCAGCCTGATCAAAAAGGCCGAGCTGCAAATAGAAAAATACACGGCCCATTCTTTTTTAACACACACCCATACAGTCACCTTCACAGAAAGAAGCAAGGACAAACAACTGCAGCACTAAAACTGACAGCTGACGTCACAGCGAGCATGATGATGTTCTCCAAAATGTTTCTGTTACACTGAAGATGCAGAACAGAAGTGATGATCAGCATGAACAAACATAACCAGCTAATCTGATATTTTTAGCATAAAAAAACCCCCAAAATATTTACATTTATTAGTTTATAATTTAAATAAGCAAAAAGAAGAATTAGTCTGAGGAAATCACCCTGCATGTTGAGCATTTTATAGATACATTACTAAACTAAACTAAACTAAACGAGAGAAAACAAAACGAAACTAAACTAAACTAAATTTAACTAAACTAGACTGGACTAAACTAGACTAAATTAAACTAGACTGACTAGACTAAACTAAACTAAACTAGACAAGACTAGACTAGACTAGGTGAACTAAACTAAACTAGACTAGACTGTAGACTAGAGGCTCAATAGGATTTACCTGTCTAAATAAAGGTTGAATGAAAAAAAAAGACTATAATAGACAGGACTAGACTGACTAGACTAACTAAACTAGACTAGACTAGGCAATACTAGACTAAATTAAACTAAACTAAATTAATCTAAACTGGACTAAACTAGACTAAATTAAACTAGATTAATTTAAACTAGACTAAACTAGACTGACTACACTAGATTAACTAAACTAGACTAGACTATATAAAATGAACTAAACTATACTAGACTATTTTATACTAAACTAGACTGACTAGACTAACTAAACTAAACTAGACTTTGTAAACTAAACTAAACAATGCTAGACTATTATAGACTAGACTACACGGACTATATTAAATAAACTAAACAAGACTAGATTAAACTAGACTAAATTAAACTAAACTAGACTAAATTAAACTTA